TAAACCGGTTTTGGCAGGTCTCTATATTTTAAAAACTTCTCAAAATAAAGATATGCCCTGGCCGGTGTGGCTCAGTTGGTTGGACGTTGTCCCATGCACCAAAAGGTTGCTAGTTTGATTCTCAGTCAGGCACATGCCCAGGTTTCGGTTCAATCCCCCATGGGGAGTGTGCAGAAGGCAGTCGATTGATGTTCCACTCTCACATCTCTGTTTCTCTCTGTTCCTCTCCCTTCCTCTCCCTCTAAAAGTCAATTTTAAAAATCATTAAAAAAATAAAAATGAACAAGATACAAATTTTAAAACTCTTAACGAGTTGGAAAATATGTCTGTACCGCCTTCCTTTGGCTCTTCACTCTAATTAAGGGTGTACCTACAAACCCCACTCTCCACATGACTCAGACCAAACCTATTTTCTCCTCAAGGTTTTCTAGTTTGAAATTTTACAAAATCCCCTTGGCTTGCTTCTCTGCTTTCTGTATTTGGTGCCACAGCCTCCTTGAGCCGAGGGAGAGCCTGGCCAGCAGCATGAGGCTATAGTTACTGGCATTGGTCTGACACACAATCCGCTGAGGTCAGAATCCTGGGCCCTGAGCTCATTCCTAAAGTGCCGGTGCCTCTTCCTTTAACATAACCAGTAATCACACTGAAACAATTCTGGACGGGCACATGGAAATCTTAAATCTGTAGGTACCAGATTATGTAACCCTTTCCTTTTATTTTGATTTCCATTCATGCTGTTTGAAAAACAAGTTCAGAAAATCAGTCAATCCATTCACAATTCTCTTTTCAAAAGGAGGCCCAGTAAAAACATGGACTCTTGTGAATTAAAGCATTTTTAGCTGCTCTCTTAAAGTAAATCACTGATGTCTAAGGGCAAATTGGTAAGAGGCCATTTAAGAAGAAAAAGAAGCATCTTCAGTGATGGAGAACCTATGACACGCATGTCAGAGGTGACACGCGAACTCATTTTTTTGGTTGATTTTTCTTTGTTAAATGGCATTTAAATATATAAAATAAATATCAAAAATATAACTCTTTGTTTTACTATGGTTGCAAATATCAAAAAATTTCTATATGTGACACGGCACCAGAGTTAAGTTAGGGTTTTTCAAAATGCTGACACGCCGACCTCAAAAGGTTCGCCATCACTGCTCTAGGTACTTCCTGGGAAACAAAGAAGCAACTCAGAGTGAGAATAAAATCGAAAACAGGATCCCTCTGAATGAGTGAACATGTTTTGTACTCAATTTCAACACCTTTCACAGTGTTTTGTTCAGACTTTATTTTTCTCCGTAACAATCCTGTCTGGTAACAATTCACTATTCCTACCTCCAGTGTCCTGGACGGAGGGAATCGGTAGGTAGAAAATGCAGGTATGTTCATTAATTCCAGGTATCCTAGAAACTAGAGTCTACTAGACCCAAAGACAAAATAGTGGCACGGTACAAGTTATCTGCGGAATCGAACACTGCCTTGCTTTTTCTGGGCGCAGACTTGGATGTACCTTATGCGCTGACTCTGGTGTCCCTGGACAGAGAGAAGCTTTCCAGGCCTTGAAGACAGGGCTCAGATTTTTCTTCAGTCATAATGAACCCTTTTCTAATAAGGCCCCACTAACATGAGCATTTCAAATTCCCCGGGCCTGGCTCCACATGCTGTAATTTGGTGTAAGTGCAATCACTGGGC